TTCGGACAGGGTTAAACGTCCAAGATGCCCAATACACCTTCATGCACAATCGAGCCGGTGACCATTGCCACAACCGAAAAGTTGTGGGTGTGGTTCATATGCCTCCTTTTGGTTGGTTTGGAATCAGGGCTTTTAGCCAACTCCCCTAGGTCAACCCGGTTATAGCCCTGGATATCGTCGGCTTTTCGTCCCATCACTTTCGTGCAAAAACAACGCCGCCCCACGAGAGGGCAGTGAATGGGGCTTCCTCAGCAGAGGCTATTCGAGACGCTTGGTCGTATGGGAGAATTTCACGAGGTGCAACCCCAGACACCCACCGCCGATCATACTGGTGATACGACAGGGAAAAAAAAGACACTGGTTTTTAGTTCTGTCCCTCAGGGTCCCTAACCAGAGATACCGGGGGGGGGGGGGNACAGAAATCGGTGCACACAGTGTGGAACTTACATAAATCAAACGTACGATCGCGTGAAACAACGAGCCTAGATGTGTGGTCAAGCTCTCGCTGGGGAACACTGGCTGATTGATACACCAAGCGACACAATGTGCGGCTGCCAGACGAACGCACAGGTTTAATTTACGTGGCTTTATAGGCACACCTTCCTCGGAACCCGCTCTCAAATAGGGGATCAGTTCAGCCAATGAAGCGGTACACTGAGATTCTAGTCTGTAAAACAATAAAAGTAGAAGAACAATTTGAAGTCAATATTCGTAATCACCTTCAGTTATGAACTCAAAAGTTACTTTACTAAAAACTCATATGTTGTGATGTCTCAGTAACTATTTCTCCCCTAAACTTGCATCGCCTAATTTGGCTTGCCCAAATAGTCATTTCTAAATCAAGTCAACAGTGAGGATATAAAGATGGCATTGATTTGAACGTCGGATCGTATATTCCAAAGCACTCCAGCGAATGAGACACAAATCGCATGCCTAAGACCACTCTAATCGACCGGTCCAGTGCATCTCCGACCTCTTAGCAGTTTGTCAGCATCGTATAACAACAGACGAAGTCATTCGACTGATAAACTCATTGCTATCCCCTCAGAAGAGATTGGTGCAACCACTCCAGTAGCCCGGACAGCAACCTGAATTGGTATGCAGGTTCAATTATAGTGTTGAGGTACTACTCACAAATGTGAGTAGTACACAAAAGGATGAAATTGGCGGTTTCCTTCAACGGTCAAAAATGAACAAGATCTGTTGTAGCAAATTACTGGGTTCAGTATGGTCACTACAGAAATGTGCATCTGCTGGTGGACCGTTCCATTAATTATCCTGTGTGCGTGTGGGAATTCTGAAGAATCGTCCCAAATGAGATATTTAGTCGTATGAAGGCCAATTTACCGATACCCCCACCGTTATTCAAAATAGATAACTATCCTCGTCCAGGCACCGTCTTGTGGAAGTATAACAATAGTTGGTTGCTCGTGAGTGTGATTTTCGCCGTGCCTATTCATCAGCGAAGGGAACAAAAACGATTGCCCGACAAACGATCGAATCCAATTAAATGTGGAATGATAATTCTATTCGTCAGTCCCCGAGAGAACACAAGAAATGCTGCTCCTACAGAACGAGTCTCCAAATGTACCTCCTGAGTAATTTCTATTCACTATCATCCCTCGGAGAGGATCTTTTGACTAAATTAATTGGGCAAAAGGTCAATACTCGAGGCTGTAACCAGATTGATGAACCAGGAGTAGACAGTTCATCGACGAGAGACGGAAAATTCTGTTTCGAAAACTCTGACGAAGAGGTCAATAAGCGACTAGAGGACATCCTGATAGCGATGATCATCGTCGGCTCAATCAGATGTTTCATTGTGTTACGACCCCGAAGGTGCGAACCACGCCGGAGGGGGGGTGGCGAATTCCAACGATTGCAACCCAGCTCTGCTTTTTCCATATGCATCACCCCCTGCCTTGGGACGTGGGTTTGAGATAGCCACTCATAGGAAAATTCACTTATCTTGACATCCTAGCAGGATTCTAATCACGAGTAAATCATACCCCGATGTGTTTGTTACATAAATGATAGTAATGTGATTTGTCTGTCATACAATCTGGACTCGAAAAGTGTGAAACACAATATCTAACAGGGCCGGAACGAATATATAATAATGATAATATATATAATGTAATAAAACATTGTGTAAGACTCACGTTTGATTTCCCCCAGCAGGGAGCGAATGAACAGCACATCGCGTCAGAAGACACAGGGTACGTGTGATAAGCATGGCCAGTAAACGAGCGTCATCAGATTCATCAACGACGGGCAGATGAGACTGGACAAATGTCATCCCGGACGAGAGAAGCCAATTGCTCAATGCATTCCAATGCGGATCCAAGGCTGTGTAGGGTAATGCCAATTGGGTCAAGCGCATTAGGGCTTCGTATTGCATCGGACTGGTTGCTTCGTTACGCATAGTCTGTGACAACGAACAGTTGGGTGAGGGAATGAAGGAAGAACAGAGAAAGATCCCCAATTGAAAAAGATTCGTTCAAATAATAACCAATAAATTGTTAATCAAATCGATTGGAAAATATTGGACGGTCGCTGTTGCACAGTGGAGAAAGCCACGTGGAGGTCAGAAAATGACGGCGAGACGAAGCATGAAGAAACGCGCAGAGCCATTAGGTAGGGTAGGTGGGATCCAAAAGACTCCGTCCCGTATGGTTGGAGACACTGGAGGTCATGGCAGCAAACCAACAGCAATGGGGATCTTGTTGTCGCTTCTTATTAGACCAGGATGCTTCAAATAGTATGTATGCACAGTTGGACTAGGTACTCTGTGTGTTGACCATCATTTCAGTTCAGTTTTCACAACCATTAACCATGCACTTTCGTGTGCCAGCTTTGGTTGCTGTCTTTTGGTTACCCATTTGGATAAAACACCAAAATGAAGAATGGAATGTCGAAGCAAATTCAACCGGAAGATGGGGAATTCATATAGAGTGGTGTTAGGAGAATAACGAGTGGATGCACGAGAGCCATTGTTTGGGACACCCAGGCATATCACTGTGTCTCTAACCATCGGTGACCTTCATCCCGAGGTCTCCAGCCAGGAAGCCTAACGGGGCCTATGTGAGCCAGGGTTTTCATACCCCCATACCACGTCTTAGTTTGACCACCCTGGATCTTCTTCCAACCCCTACCAGCCTTAGCAAACATCGCTCGCAGCGGCAACCTATCTGGCGACATGCGTAACACATGCTCCAACCAACGTAATCTATGGAGATCGATCACTTGCTCCAGTGGACGACCGCAAATGCCTAAAACTCTACGCCTAACCTCAGCATTGCTAGTC